ACTCAGGTGACTGTGATCGGGTAATTATCCTGGATGGTGACTGAAGTGACTGTGATGAATCCCTGACAGTTATGGGTTAATAATCATTTTTGATTAACTAAAACTAACCGACATTCAGTATTCATCAAAATTCACTGGTTGAGCTGTACATTATGTGTTTGAATTACTTAAATTAACTGCCTCACACAGGGTGTCCGCGGGTCCTTAAAAAGTCTTAAAATGTCTTAAATAACGTTTTCCTAATATAAGGCCTTAAATGCAGTTATTTTGTGGGGATATTTTGTATGGAATATTGTCTGCTGACATGAAAAGTTCACTGTATATCATAGTAATGAATACCATTTATTACAGCATTGATATTTTGTTTTCTTTTGTATTTATACACATTAAATATTACATATATGTGTGTAATAAAATGTGTGTTTCCATTACAGGTTTAGGTCTTAAATTTCATATAAGGTGGTATTAAAAAGGTCTTAAAAAGTCTTAAATTTAACTTGTTCAAGTCTGCAGAAACCCTCCTCACAAGAGTTTCTAGTTTGAGAATCAGTCTACACTGGTCGAGCTATTTGTGTTTCATTAACAAACAATAACTGCCTCATAAGAATCAATTGTTTGCGAATCAAACTACATTGGTCGACATATATGTTATTGATTCACTAAACCGAACCAGCTCATAAGAGACATTTCGTAGGGAATCAGGAAATACTGGTTGAGTTATATGTGGTTGATTCACTAAACCGAACCAGCTCATAAGAGCCGTATTTTAGGAAATCAGATTACACCAGCAGGCGTGGCTCGTCTATATGGGCAGGTGGGGCAGAGCCCCACCAAAATATTCATCCAAAACATAGACCTCTATATAAACTGAATCAATAATAAATTGTAAATGTGTTTAGCGTTCTGCAACAAATATTTTTCGGATTTTCTAGACTATTTTAAGTATTAGTAAGCAGTATATATTAAAATCCTGCGCATGGCTTTAGCAGGCATGTATGATACTAAGTGGTGCAGATGGTGCCTGAGACCTCTCGAACTCAACAGCGCCCCACAATTTTGCAACGTAAATCTGTGGTGAAAATGGTAACTGCAGCGCGTTCTAATTGAGAGCCATTGGGGCAGATTTGAGACTGCCCCGCTTATTTTCACGTTGCCTTACGTAAACCTCGCTCCACCAACGATATCAATCCGCTTCAGCTATGTCTGCATCAGGTCAGTAACTAGTTGGCATGTCTGTTTTTTTCTATGTGGAGTAGTGGATCAAATTAACAAAGTAGGCTATACTTAAATCCTTTAGTTTAAATGTGCTCTCATGAATAGCCTTTATATGGTTCTGTTGTGTTTGTTTTGTTTATTCTGAGAATAGACATATGATCTTCTTTCCTCACCCGAATTGCTCCACAACTTGTAACATTCTAAATCAACATTTGGAGGTGATAAATACTATATTAAGGCAATTATTATACAGCATTTTATGCGTGTAACATTACTTCGAGCCTGTCAATCAACATTAGCTCGCCACCCATAGGATAATGCAAGGACATCTCTGCCAAAATTGTCCCCATGTGTTCAAAGATTAGAATATAAAGCTTACAAAAAGTTTTTCATATATTAGCGCTACGACCCAGAATCTGCCCCACCTAAATTTACGGTCAGGAGCCACTACTGTACACCAGTCAAACTATGTGTTTAATTCACTAAAATTAACCTTTTTGTAAGAGTCATGTTATTGATTCCCATCTCTCACTAAAACTATATATGTTTGATCGCTAAAATGAACCGGCTCATAAGAGTCTTTTGTTAGTGAATCAGACTACACGGGTTGAGCTACATGTGTTTGATTCACTAAAACAAACTGGCTCAAAAGAGTAATTTGTTACTGAATCAGACTACACACTGGGTGAGCTATATGTGTTTGAATCACTAAAATGAACTGGCTCATAAGAATCATTCATTTGGGATTCAGAGCACACCATGTTTCACACTGTGGTTTCAGTTGATTCAGTAAACAGCAGAGCAGTAAACACTATTAGTGTTTTGGCTATTTTTATTATTAACTATTGACTGTTGATTCCGGTATTTGTTTTTAAAAAAGAAACCAGTTCTTGATACCTAGTCGTAGTTTCAGCGCACATTTCCTCCCAGCACACATTCCTTACAAATTTCAAACAGGAGTGCATGGGTGGATGCTGCTGGGGGTCTTGTGATTAAACCCAAAAACCCCAACCGAGACACACTCACACCTACGTGCACGTAAATGCAAACACACATTCACACGTTCACAAACACCTACTTGTTTACGCAGGGGGCCAGTGCCTCACGCGGCTTTGCCAACAGCCTGAAGATCGAGAGAAATCGATGGTATCATTTGATTGCATCAGCAATGTTTTGTCGCTTTCGTGACCTACGGCTGTGAATTCTCCTGGAAGTTTATTTAGAAAGGGGCTGTCCCTCATTTTAACTGTACACTATTCATTTACACTGTCTGCTCTAGGGGAAAGAACCTAATTATTTCCTTATAAATGGCCCTGTAAACAGGAGGGGGATGAACTCTGTCATTTCCTTGTGCCAAATGCAGATAAGTATTTATGTTTGAGTGTAGGATTCGGCTATACAGATGCGTGAAAGACGCTTTAGTTAGTCTGCAGTGAGTTGGCTGGAGAAGGAAATGGCAGACACCGTTGTGCGTAGGAGTGATGAGACAGTGGAAGCCCTGGCACAGAGACCCTGTCTTATACGCTCTTCTTCCTTTATTTCCCTATTTCCTCCTTCTCTTCCTCTGTGAGTGGGCTCACAGGGAGCCGGGCTTAATGTTATGGATTTGAGCTGTCTTCTTTGTCCCTGCCCCCTCTTTCGCTCTATCATTCGATGTGTTTCTCTCTCTGGGCTGGACTCTGTACCAGAGGAATTTGGCTTCACAGATGTGGAGTGTCTGTTGAAGAGGAGGGATGTGCTCGTCTCAAATCCCGTGGCGAAAACACATCATTTCCCTATACATGGCAATTAGACATGCTACACATTACAGACCTTCTATCAGACACTAAATGTGTGAGCTTTAGATCTGCTGCTGCTTTGTTTTTTGCCAGAATTAGGGCTGCAACTAATGATTAATTTGGTAACTGATAATCCAATGATTATCCAGTAATTTTACTGACATACATACCTAGGCATAAACAATACATGTATTATGTATATATTTCATTTTGGTATTTTAGTATTTTACTGTTTGCATACTGTATATTTTTGTCATCACAGGAATAAATTACATTTTAAAATATATTAAAATTTAAAATAGTTATTTAAATTGTAGTAATACTTCACAATATTACTGTTATTAATGTATTTCTGATCAAATACAGCCTTAGAAAAACATCAAAGATCATATTTTAAAAATCATCTTTCAAAAACATTTAAAAAATTGAATTTTAATTAATTTAAAATCACAATTTGACTTTATCACTACATATTTGAATCTTACATATTCCAATTCTGTAATGCAATTTTTATTTTGGAATTAGTTTACTATTTCTCCCATCCTCACAGCCTTGATATATTATTTATATTTGATAAATATTTGCTTTTATCAGTATAGTTTTGGCTAGTCAGCTAGCTGTACATTATCTTATAATATCAGGTTTGTCTTGGTTAAACCTTCAGAATTTCCTGTTTGAATATTGTTGCTTAGAATATGGTGAATTAGGCTAATCACGGTAATGTTGGGTTATCTGAGGCTGGCCTTGGCTAACCTGATACAAAAGTACAGCCGTGTCCCAGATTACCATAATGCACTCTATTGTGCAGTTATCTTTTTTTTCCTCTCTGATATTGCTGTTTAGGTCAACAATGTGCATGTACACCACAGGGGGACATAAGAGGTATAAACTAGATACAGATATCTAGGAAATTGGCTGCCTGTTTCAGCAGTCAATTATTCAGTTAAGTGGTCTTTGACTGCAAAATTCTGTAATTGACCAATCAGAATCAAATATCCTGAGTCAACCGTTCCCAAACTTTTGAGTCTAGTTGTTCCATTTATTGTCTATGTTTTTCCCATTACAGTGGAACAATAGAGAATGTGTCTTCTAATTGAGTATGTTTGCAATCTTTTAAGCTCCAAGTCTGTTCCTAATGTTCTGCTTTCTTTTCCTGTCTTTTTTTCAGGATGCCTTCGTGGAGTTGTACAGTCAGCAGAGAGACTCTATGTTCCACCCATTTTCGTACCTAACGAAAGTGCTTGGATTGGCAGCACTAGGCTTGGCAGGAGTGACCATCGGAGCCTTTTTCGCTCAGAAGTGACGGCTCTACGGGTCTCTTCACCAAACTATCTCACTTTCTCTGCCTGTCTCTCCTCTTCAGCTTATCAAAGCATCTTTCAGTGCCGCACTGCCCCGCTAAGCCCAGCACCAGTGCCCTTCAAAGGCCGCCGCTGATCCGACGCCCCTCCAGCCACGGGAGCTGCGGCACTCGCGCTCTTTCACCCTCTCTAGAGTGAAGAAAATGCAAAGAAAAAGAATACAGAATGAGGACTCGCCGGAACGCTCTCACACTTTGACTATGATGTTCGTCACTGCCATGTACAGTTGCACTCGCACAGAGATCGACACACAAAACACGTGCACACACGAACACTTGCTCACATACTTCATATGGACACAAAAATACAAAAAAACGTTTTATCTTTAAAGTTTGTTTCTTATGTACGAAACAAGTACAAAGAGATTTTTAAACTTAAGATTGTGCTTTTTTGACATTTTGATATCAGGTTTTTTGGCATTTTGTAGCATGAATCAAAAAGAAAAAAGAGGGAGGAAAATAAGAACGTTTGCCGGCGTGAATGTAAATAACTTCTCCACTATCTGCATGTGTGGAGAAAGAGACTCTTTTAGCTACTTTTTTATTGCATGATGACATTTTGAACTCGACCACCCACCCTTCTCTGTTGATTCGGGGTGTTTTTATTTTTTGTTTTTGTTTATATCTCTCTTTCACTCCATTGGATGGACCTCTTGAGAGCTCCCATCAAACCAACAGATGTTGAGCATTCCTCATTAAAAAGTTCCTCTTTGATTTGCTCTGTGTCTTACTGTTTGGTGAGCACAAACAATGTGCCGACAACCAAACCAAAGCGGCTATCATGATGTAATCGGGTCATGGAGTTGTCTGACCCAAATCGCCCCTCTTGAATGTAAAGACATTTGGAAGTTTGGCTTCTGAAAGGTTTCCCATTGTATATTGTAATACATTTGCATTTTTTTTTGTATATCATTTTTTTTATTTGTGCAAAATGCATTAAAAGAGCAATTATGAGGGTATTGTGTATGTATAATGTCCATGTACATTTAGTGTGAGTGTGTGTACATCTGTAAATAGATTGTGTTGAGAGAGCTGGATTTGGCTGTGTTCTGGTGGAGAATGCGGGCAGCCCGCCACTTATGTCCAGCCCAGCCAGGTGTGTGTGTGCGCGTCTGCGTCTGCAGATGAAACAGGCAGGTGGCAGCTGGGAACAGAAGTTAATTCAGGCTGGCATGATAGGCATGCAGGCCAGCAGGGCTTTGAAAAGACTTTGTACACAAAGGACTATGTAATACACGGCCCAGGTGTATCACTTTTCCCTCCTCACCGATCCCAATGTTATCTTTCTAGCATGGTAGATTAAAGATGCCTTGTGAGCTATAGATTTTTGGAAGCCCCCACAACCAAAGAAATCCAATCTGTCTGCTGTAACTTCCGCCCCAGAGAGAGTCTCATCTAGTGCTATCTCTCAACTTCCGCGTTATGTTCCTCTGGGAGAGTAGATTTCTCATTCACAGGAAGATACTGAGACACCAGCTTGTCCTAATGTCTTTTTTCTCCCTCAGATGTTCATTAAAGTCGCTGATATAGATTTAGCACTCTGCATCTCCATGTCAGGGCAAAAGCCTGTTTCGATATCTTCTGCATTTAGTACATTTTATTTCGAAAGTTTGTTAATATATGAGCCATATGCTGGAATCTTGATAAAATAGAATCATTTCAAGAGAGCGCAAGGTTGTGCAAAAGGTGACACTGGAATTGTTTCAGTTCATGAGCGTGAATTGGATTTGAATTTTCTAAATTGTCCCAGCAAACATTCCTTTTTCTTATTAAAAGATATACTCACAAGAATTTATTTGAATTTCAGTTTATTTTAATTCCACTTTGTTAATTTCAAATTCCGAAATTAAATTGAAAAACATTCTAAATTCCATTTTAAATGGCGCACAACTGATACAGTGTCTACAGACTTCAGTCAAAGTGGACAGCATATTTAATGTGGCGTGAAAGAAAAAGAGTCTGTGAAGGATGGAAGTAAATGATTGGATGTCTAATTCACTTTACTTTTATTTTTTGTCCACTTGAAAATTGTGGAAAGACATATTTCAGTATTTTGTTGGCTAAACAGCCCTTAGTATACAAGAGTACGACATAAAAAAACTGTACTTCTTTCCATCACAGTCTCATTTTCATTCAAGTCAATACTCTAACTAAGGATCCATGTCAGGATCGACTTTATCTAGTCTATCAACACAGCTCTCGAGTGTGTAGCGGTACAGATTAAACATTCGCTATCTAATAGTGTACTATATTGCTGCACCCTTTATCGGGTGGTGCAGGACTGTATCAGAATATGTTAAAGCGAGTTTTGAGGACTCACACTGTAAGATCATTTTACTTTAGCTGCTAAAGATCTAGCAACGTAAGACGACAGGGTGTGAAGTTGAGCTTCTCCCTGTTGCTGCACCATATGAAGCTGCTCGTGGATGAACCAGCGTATAACTGCCACTGCTGGAGCGGAACTAGCCCATCCACTTCTTAGGTCTCGCTTTTCCTCTGGTTAGGAGAAGCTGAGAAGTCTATTACAATCAGACTCTAGGTGCACCTACTTGAGTCTAAGAGGCCTTATGTATTCGATTAAATAGCATCAATCTGTGATTTCTATTCATAAGCGATTTTCAAATTCAGTTTGTGTCAAATTCTTCTGCACCTTTTAAGAAGTGTAATCGAGCAGCGATTGTTTGTCGGGGAAATATTTTATTTGACAAAAAAGAGACTAAGAAAGTGGAAGGTGAAGGATGCAGGAAATTAATGCGCAGTCTAGTAGTTGGATGTGTGTATGAGTCATAAGTTTCTTACATAGCGGTGTGTGTATACATAAAAATCTTTTGCATTGTAAAGTGCCATTCACACAGAATGCATTTTTTTGCATTTAAAAACACAAGACACAGGAAAGTGGAATGGAAAAGACACAAAGTATAGAACTTTTTTAGGATGTCATGTAATGCATGAGACACGAACGCAACAGTCAAATGCATTCGTCCAGAGCATGTTTACATAGAAAACAATTTAAAAAATGTGTAACGCAATGCAAAAATTTGTTCTGTGTGAATGGCCCTTAAAACTGTGTCCTAACCATGATAAAGCAAAATCCCCCTCCATATAACTGCACGTTAAAGCTGAAGTGTGTCATTCGCTAGACTGAGTTGACTGTTTTTAAACAGGTTTCCCAAACACTCCGCCCGGAGACGAATCAATAGCCCCGCCCCCAAACACACCCCATTGGCTGAACCAGTGTTGCTGTTGTTGGGCAGGTCGAGATGTTCAAACAAACAGATCAATGTTTTGAAAACACCACAGAGCTTTTTAGAGAACTCAACGTATGATTGTCTTACTAATAATTGTTTTAACATTAAAAAATCACATTTCAGCTCTAAACATGAAATAGGTTCTGATTGAATCAGAAATTTAATGAAATGATGCTGGAAAAGTCATGGCAGGTTAGGACACGGTGTGAGAGAAGGCAGGGAAAGTACAGTAGGTGAAACTGGGTTTAACTCCAGTGTCAATATTAAATTAAATTTAAAATAATCTAACTTTTTTAAAATTTAAATGATCTTTTATCTCTTTACAATAAAATGATCAGAATTCTGAATGTAAAAATATAGGATCAGCTCCGATCAGCTAAAGCACTCGCTTTCAAAGTCAGTCAGAGTTGCGTTGCTTGTCCTTCTGCAAAAATGAAAAACTCCTTCTGTCAGTTCATTCATTTTCGTCATACAGATGGAAAGAGGATGGGCCTTTGTTTCAGCTCACGTTCTGTCTGATAAATATGGAAGTGATATTTAAACTGCAACACGAGGGGTTTTCCCTTCTTCCATCTGGAATGGTGGTGTTCCGGTGATCTGTTCAGAGTAAAATTGCACATACTGTCTCCATGGTTGCACTGGTTTGCTGTTTAACCATGTTATTTACATTTTGCATGAGTGCATTCTTTCATCTCCAGCCATACAGCTTCATTTCGCTCGAGTTTCTGTGCGATTTTCACATTGTGTTCAATATAAATGACTCATTTTGGTGTCTATTCTGAAATAAACCCTCACGCCCCATCACTTCAAATGGAAAAGATTATCAAAATGTTTTGTTTTTTTTCCTTCGGCAGCTACTATAATGCATTCATTTTACAATACCACTTTCCTTTGAGGAAAAAGAAATCGATTTTCTGCTCCGATTTCTTTGCTTTCTTTCTTTTTAATGACTTTGCTGCCATACCATCCCTCATATATCACATAGCCATTAAAATGTAGCAAAATATCCGGAGGATTTTAATATAGAGACAGGAGTTTATATTTGATTTCCAAATTCTCATTTTTTCCACCATTACCCTGTTTGTCTTTCTATGTTGTACATTCTGTCTTGTAAGCCCTCAGCATGTAGCATTCAGAAGCAATTGTTCATGATTTTTCTTTTTCGTTTTTTGTTTGTTTAATTTATCCTCATAGCACTTGTGAGTTTTAAATGTGTCAGTATCATTTTGTGTATGTATCCATGTCATAAGCTAACAGTTATGTGTCCTAATTAAATAAACCTTGCCTTATCATCTGAGAAGAGCTGTCACGGTTTGCATCACTGAGTCGGAAACTCCAATATGCCGCTACGGATTCTGTCACGTTCTGCTGTACTCCAAATTGAAGGCAGCTAGGGAATCGTTTTAACAGGCCAGCTGTATATCAGGAGTGTTTAAAGAGTGTTTAGGGGAAGGTTGGCAACGGTGTCTCGCGGGAGATGAGGATTTAACCAGTCAACATGGGCCATGTGTACATCCTTCTGTTTAACCTGGGGGTCTTTTTTGAGACACTTGTTTTACATCCATCCTGTACTAAAACATACTGTGGTGGTATCAGTTGGTAATTGGGCATAAATAGAATCTGCAGAATGTTTTCTGCACTGGTTTTGGGGGGAGATCTGTGGACTTATGTGTTTAAGCCATAGACTGTATAAAAACATGCACGTAGTGTCCGTGACGTCACCCGTAGATTTCTGGAGAGTGTTTTTGAAGCTCAAAGTGGGCGGAGCGGGCCGTCGCCATCTTGGCAGCTCGCGTCACTCCCGGATAATCGAAAATGGGCAAAGAGGCGGGAGCAGGTTGCTGAAACCACGCCCACCTAGCGTGACGGTGGTGACAGCAGCAGGCAATCCACCTGTCACTCAAGTGGCCACGCCCTTAATTATGCAGAACTTTAAGGCTTAATATAATTTAAACGGATGAGTTATAAAAAATTTCACCCCCCTCACAGTTGTCATGAAGGGCAAAATTAGCTATATAGACCAAAATCACTTATTGTACCAGGCTGTAAACACGTTTTTTTTCTGCTGTAAAGTTGGGCATTTTAACATGGGGAGTCTATGGGACTGACTCCCTTTTGGAGCCAGCCTCTAGCGGCCAGTTGACGAATTGCAGTTTTAGTCACTTCCGTGTTGGTTTCATGAGAGAGACCGGAAGGTTGC